CTCCAACTTCCTCCGGGGGAAACTGAAGCTGTACACAGGGGAGGCCTGCAGGAGAGGGGACAGGTGACCCGCCACTGCCGCCACCGTGGTCTATCCACCAAGCCGCTCACCATCACTGCCTGTCACGCCAACCCTCCACCACTCCCGACCCTCATCAAAGGGCTTGCTTGTCTGACGGACACTCCAGCACCAGCAGTGATATCCTGGGGCCCAGAAGAACTTTCCAGAACTGTGTTCTGAAATCTAAACATGTCACTGGGCCAGCCTGAGGCCCCAGGGCAGGAGACACTCGGAGAACCATCTTGGATTTGTTTTGTTTTTGTTGAGACGGGAAGGTCTCACATAGCCCAGGCTGGCCTGGAACTCGCTATGGAGCTAAGGATGACTTTGGACTCCTGATCTTCCTGCTTCCATTTCCTGAGTGCTGAGATTGCAGGTGTGCACCCCCCCCCCAGTTTATGGGGTGCTGGAGGTGGAAGCTGGGGCTTCTGCATGCTAGGCAAGCACTCTACCAATTGAACTATATTCTCAGCACCCAGAAACCAGCTTATAACTCAGGGACAGAGATATCTAAACTCAATTAGTGTCCTGCCGGAACTGTGATCCCCCACAGGACAAGCTTTGGAGTTCAGTCTTTGTGGCACCTGTGAAGAATACAGGGACTGGAGAATTTAGGGGGCAAGGCATGAATTCTCCAGATTTCATGGGATTTTCCCTGACACCATGTCCCACTGGACAGTAGAGGGGGCGGAACCATGAAGAAAGAATGGCAACTGACTCTTAGCTTTCATGGGAGGGAAGGGGTTTGAAGTTTTGTGTCCTTAAAATACCACCGGCAGCAGCCGAAATCACCAGTATGACTCCTGGCTTGTCTATATTTCATGGGTGCCCCCCACCCCCGCCACCCCCGCCATTTTCCCGGCTCTACCTCCTCCCAACCTGGTAGCAAAGCATCAGATCTGGGAAACCAGAGGTGGAGGGGGTTGGGCCCTACGTGCTGCCTCGCATGGCCTGTCTGACCTCTTGACCCCACTGGGCTTGAGGCCACAATGCCTGCCCACGCTGGTCAATAAGCAGGCTCCATTCAAGGCTGTCTTAGTGGGCAGCTGCCAACCCGCTTTACAATACTAAAGGGGCCGGGGCTACCACTGAGGAAACAGGAGCCCGTACCCAGGGGCTCCCCTTCAGGCGTTGGTAGCAGCGGCCAACGCCGGTTAATGGATCAACATGTCCCTAGCACTTGTCACTTACCTCAGGATAGAAACCACCTGTGTCTTTCTGGGAGGTGACACTCGGGGGTTTCTCCCTGTAACTTGGAGGTCAATAGGTACCACGGCCGGGGGACAAGGGTGACTCCAGATTCTTCCTAGGATTCCTTAGTACTTCAGGTGGACAAGCATGCTCAGGAGAGACCCACACAACCAGTCAGAGATGACACACACTGTCCCAGGACCCCAACCCTGGCTGTTATCCTATGTGGCTGCCATTCATTCTGTTCCCAAATCAAGACCTTTAGAATAGAGTCTGAAAGCTCAGTATTCAAAAGGGAGTGTTTTTGCAGTCCATGGCAGGAAAAACTACGTGCACATTGAAGGAGTTGGGGGCTGGAGAGAATTTACTAGTGTGTGTGTGTGTGTGTGTGTGTGTGTGTGTGTGTGTGTGTGTGTGTGTGTGT